CTGCCCTCACTTCATGTTTTTAAAGAACAAAAGTAGGTTGGCTGTGGTCCTGTGAATTTTCAGCAGATTCTACTGTTTAGTTTTTCGGACAATTAAAGGTAAATTCTGCTCAAATTCAGATTAAACTCAAAAATGTAATTCAAAATAATGAAGATACAACCTGATATATGATACATCACAAAACAGCAAAAAAAAATAAGCAAACATAACAAATTATTTTCAAGCCTGGTTAGTTTTGACTAGAGAAAATGCTGTGCCTAGACTTTATTTCTAACCATCCCGTAAAAGGAGAATGAAATTGCCTGCTGGCTGTGCCAGGTATTTGCATGTTAGTTTGCCTAAGTTGGACACCAACATGTTTTTATAATGCAACATATCTAAGACATTATTTACATAGATAGTAGATAGACTACTGCCTACAAATAATACATTAAGAAAAAAAGTAAAGGCCAGCAAATGTATTTTTTTACATTTCCTGATCTGGTGAAATTATCTAATCTGTGACTTAAATCTGTTCTGATTAAACAAAACATAATGCCTTCTCAATTAAATGTTCTGTAACAGATGTGTATAGGACACAAAAACACAATTTGTTATTTTGGCCGGTAAAAAAATATGTTTGGCCAGTGAATTTTTTCATCTACCTGCCACCTTGGCCGGTGAGTCAAAAAGTTAATTTCAGACCCTGCTTTCAACGTTGTATACCCGCGTGCTTGTGCTCATGCATGAACTTTACCATGCCTATAAGCACACCTCTTTGAAGAAGAAATCTTCAAGAGTTGATCTGTTTTTTAAAGGGTATAAGCCTGGTTAGTTTTGACTAGAGAAAAGGACTAAGTAAAGTCTTAGTGTTCACTCACATGAGACAGTCTGTACCATGCCCAAGCACATTTGACCCCCAAAGCCCAGTTTGTTTGACTAGTGTTAATGGTACCATGGTACACTTCCATGCCTTGACACAGAAGGGGTGTGCTTTGGCACAGTATGGTTGATCATGCACAATAATGTTACAATGTTACAATTCACTTAGCAGATGCTTTTATCCAAAGTGACGTACATCAGAGAGTAAGTACTAATCCATTCATACACTGCCACTGAAGCAGCGGGAGCAATGCAGGGTTAAGTGTCTTGCCCAAGGACACATCGGACATGTTGCTCAGCTGGGGATCAAACCCTTGACCTTCCGGTTGAGATAACCTTAACGATGACACTGTTCCTCTCAATAATCATTTTGAACAAAAGCTGCAAAGGATTCACATTGTTCCGAAGCAGAGGTCGAGTTTACTTGAAAACTGTTTTTAATTGTTAACACCTTATTTTGAAAAACGGATGTGTATCTCATAACCAGTTTTATGGTAAGACTTTGGTATTTAGGACTTTTGTTCGGAAAAGGAGATTTACTAAGGGGCAAATTCACTCTCCTGCTCGCTCTGGAGTCCGTAGCATTTACCATAGAGATCACGTGAGCACTTCAACTTTAGGGGCGGCTGCCTTGACCAATTTAAAAGCAGGGAGCGGCTGTTCACCTGTCACCTTCGCAGACGCATCGACGCAGACCGTAACTCCAAAAGGCTCCACTGAGGTTAGTGACATAGCCAGTGTCTGGTTCAGGGACGCTGGAAGTAGCCTACGTTTTAGTTGGGGGCAGCTGAGAGAAATCTTTCTATATGATGACGTAATTCTTAATGCTGCACAAATTCTTCTTGTATTGATTAATTTGAATGTTCAGGATTAGAACGGCTCACTTATTTTATTTTAACACCAGCAGACCTTTACCTAAAACCTAAAGTTCTCAAGTTGGCTATGACCACTTTATGGTTTATAGTTTTTAATAAACAGAGCAGTGAGGGTGACGTGCGGATCTGCAGACATGTAAGCGCACTTAACGCATGTTAAAGCGGTTTGGACAGCATCAGTCTGAGACAACAGTCTGCAGTGTCTTAAACTGAGTTACATTAGAAATGATGATCATTAGATGTTCCAGTTTCTTGACCCTCCATCTCTGTGCGTAACTGCACTGTCCCTCCACGACTCTCACTCGTCCGCATGTCTGTCTCTCACGGACCAGGCTGGCAGCACCACTTTTTAACAGCTTTTTCTCCCTCGTTATGTAAAAAAAAAAGACATTTCAAGAAAACGCTGATGTACCCTTAAGTAACATTAATACACTTTATGCAGTACAGATTTTATTTTAAAGATTCCTTTATTCTATCTACTGTAGGGAATGAGCAGAGGAGCCGGGCGGCGCGTCTCTAGCCAAATTGTATTTGCGCACCGTCACAAGCTGTTTTGACGTTATTACAAGGATGACAGACAAAACTCAAAAGTCTTGGGTAACATTTAATTATTCTGCTTTGTCTGTGTTTAATTTCTTAGGGAACGTTTCAAACTCTCGTAAACCCCTCCATGTGTGCGTAAAGATGAAAAGCTCCGAGCTGCTGTGAGTTATCACTGCAGGGAGTAATTGAATATATTCACAGAACACAAACTACAAGATAAACAACACAAAACCAGAGCTGCCGAAGATGTAGGCGGTCACTGTTTTGCTCTGTAATGCTTCATTAACTTCCAACCTCTTACATTACATGCAACTATATGTACTGTATGTTCACCTTTATCTAATTGTAAGGCTTGCACACAGTTAATACTCTTAAGTTACAAAACGTTGTTGTATGTTTTAATTTTTGTGTTAAACAGAATCAAACCAGGACATCATCAGAGGACGTAGTCATGGCTCATCATTGCCCATCAGGTAAATAAACAAACAGTTATTACAATATAATGATCTCCACCGACATCACCAGTCTTTTAAATATTTAAGAGACTAACTTTTAGTATAAAAATATTTGACAAATTGGCTATAATTAAATTATTTGTTTTGATCCTAACTTAATGACAATATTGACAGACAAGAGTGTTTGCCATATCTATTATTTATTTATCTTTGCGTGGTATGAAGAACACATAAGTTTTGTTTCTTAGGCACAGTAGGCTTCACAGCCAAGCTGAATGTCTCTGATAGCTACCCCACTCACTCTGGAGTCCTGAAGTTTGGCACTGTACTGGTCAACGAGGGAGGAGGCTACTGCCCTAACACAGGCATCTTCACCTGCCCAAAGGATGGCCTCTATCACTTCACTGTGCATGCTTCTGTGTATGGGCGTGGCCAGTGTTTTATAATCAAAGACGGAACCAAAGTAGTGTCTCTGTATCACACCACTCTGCCTGATAAATGTAGCCAAGTGGCGAGTGTGAGCAGTGTGATCAAACTGTGTACAAATGAAAAAGTCTGGGTGAAACTCTGGGGGCCTGGCAGAAGTGATATCTTTGCAACCGAAGATAATGACACTGTGTTTGTTGGAATGTGTTTGGGTTGATGAGTGAAGTGTCAAAATGTCAATAAAGTTCTTGACAATAAGATGTTTTTTTTGTGTTTTTTTGACGAAGATAAACTTTGGGTTCCATTACCACAGTTATACTGCACGGCTTCAATTCAGTTTAAACAGAAGAATTAGGTGAGGACACTTATTTTTTTTATTATCAATCAGGCTAATTTCCCAGAGCTTTTGCAGATCTTATACAAACAAAAGGATACAATATGATATCTGATTTGAATGTGATCATGAGATGGAATAAAGACAAGTTGTCCTCAGCAACAAATTAGAAAGATATCATGGCTGTTCCTGTTTGTAAGGGGAAAAGGAAGAACAAGGTGTTAAAAAGGTAAATGTAAAAGGTAGAAAGGTGTTTAGAGAACATTAAGGTTTGATCAGTCATGTCTTAACAAGACTGCTTTTAGTGGAAAACAAAACGTGGGAAAAATATTCATTGCAAAACCGCTCAAAAATTAGGGAAATAATTAGAAAGAAAGATAGTATGCAGCTACTTTGAAAGTATTAGAAAGACATTGGAAGTGGGATCATGAGGTAAAACAACTGAAGAATGGGTAATGGATGCTATAAACTAAAGGGAACAATGTTAAATCCTCCAAAGCCTACCAAGTAGGCTACACTAGTAGTTAATTAGTCATGTCAGTAGTCTTGTTGGAGCCAAATTATGTGTTTGTTTTGTGTCATGGTATTTTCCTTATGGTTGTGTGTGTTGGCCCTCTACTGGGCACTATGTGTAGCCTGGGCGGATGCTGTGGTTAAAGTAAGGCTCCAGGTGAGGTGGGACAGGTGATTGAATGGAGGCAAACAGTTTTTTTTTTTACCGTGTCAGCCTGTCGGAGTTAAACGCATCCAACGCGGATTTGTTTGTTTTATTTATAGACAGTGGTTCGTCATATTTTCCTTTATTTGATAAGAAGTGTTTAAAATAAATGGATTGAAATATCCAAATCAAATCATCAATGGACTGTGTTAATTTCTTCGAGCTAAGCACGCGTCCGAAAGCTTCCACATTCATCCCTCAAGTGACCTTTACAAACAATATTGGGTTTGTTAAAATTGGTCACTACAAGTCTCTTTTGCTTTCTTCAAATGTCCTTTTAAAATATGAATTCTTTAAAATACAACTGATATCAAACTTTTGTTTCACAGACTTTATCGTAAAAACAACGTATGCTCCTGTAGTCACCTTCAATCATTGATTAGAAGACCAAGCTATTTTTCGGTCTCCCGACCATGTGGAGGCGCTGTCTAAGAAATCGTCACAGCACAGTTGTTGACGCATGCGCATACGATCTGTTTTCAAACCGGTGGAAACGATAGTGTTTGTAGACGGACGGAGCATCACGTTTCACGTTTCTGTATATCTGTATCACGTTTTGCTTCAAGCTATAGTTTATAAAATGGATTTAGAAACTGGAACATACGAGCCAGGGTTTGTTGGGATACGGTTTTGCCAAGAATGGTGAGTTTTTTGTCGGAATAAGTTTTAGATAAGCCAATTTAATAAGCTAGCTGTCCAACATTGAGCACCGAGTTCAGTAAACGCATGTTCAACCCTGACTGGCTTATTAGGAAAATTAGAGTTATAGTTAAGTTTAATTTCGTTAAGTAATATGAAGTCGGTGAAACAGACTAAATTCCCTGATTCTGTTTTTCAGTAACAACATGTTATACCCCAAAGAAGACAAAGAAAACCGTATTCTGCTCTACGCGGTAAGTTTCTGCTCACTAAACATTCACTACATGTCGCTCACTGCAGCGAGTATGATTGTGTTAATCACTTCATGACAAAGAAACCATGGCTTAAACGATCCCACAAATGTTAGCTATCTGTAATAAGCTGAGCACAAGTGATGATGCTGTTGGTGGATTCGTACTACACCACAACAAATTATACGTGGACATATCAGACACTAGACAAAGTAATTTACTTTGTTTTTAAACCAATTCGTTTTCCAGTCAAGTGGGTTTCTCAAACCTGACTTGGTTGAAGAATAAGATAGACTTTATTCATCCCACGAGAGGAAATGTAATTGTACACTCTGTCATTGAACATGCTAACACACACATCTCCTGAAATACACACACATGCACTAAAAGGATGCTGTGGACATTCACTAACAGAGCATGTCAGAGTGAGGGGGCTGCTCCTTCGCTGATGGGGGTTCGGTTCTTTGCTCAAGGGAACCTTGGCAGTGCTCATGAAGTGAGCTGGGACCTCTTCAGCAATTAGACCAAATTCCAGACTTGGTCAGCTCCGGGAATTGAACAGGCAACCCTCCAGTTCCTAACCCTACACAACCCATGTCCCTACACAACTGAGCTAGGTGACCCTGTATAATATTATTTGAAGAGAGAGAAATCATAAGTGGTATCCTTGATTGATTGATTGATTGATTGATATGCATACCAGATCATTGTAAGCAAACACATGAAAACCTATAATAATAATAATAATAATAACTTTATTTATATACCACCTTTTAAAAACACAGGTTTAGAAAGTGCTTTGACAAACAGCAAAACAAGAACAAACTAAACCAAACAACAGCAAGAACATAACAAATGCTAAATACTAAAAATAATTAAATACAGTTCAACAGAAAAGATCCCATAGTGCATGATACCCAACAGACATATATAACCTGACCATCACAAGAACCATCATAAGAACCCAGGAAACACAAGAACCATCATAAGAACCCAGGCAACACAAGAACCATCATAAGAACCCAGGAAACACAAGAACCATCATAAGAACCCAGGCAACACAAGAACCATCACAAGAACCCAGGAAACACAAGAACCATCATAAGAACCCAGGAAACACAAGAACCATCATAAGAACCCAGGCAACACAAGAACCATCACAAGAACCCAGGAAACACAAGAACCATCATAAGAACCCAGGCAACACAAGAACCATCACAAGAACCCAGGAAACACAAGAACCATCATAAGAACCCAGGCAACACAAGAACCATCATAAGAACCCAGGCAACACAAGAACCATCATAAGAACCCTGGAAACACAAGAACCATCATAAGAACCCAGGCAATACAAGAACCATCATAAGAACCCAGGAAACACAAGAACCATCATAAGAACCCTGGAAACACAAGAACCATCATAAGAACCATCATAAGAACTCAGGAAACACAAGAACCATCATAAGAACCATCATAAGAACCCAGGAAACACAAGAACCATCATAAGAACCCTGGAAACACAAGAACCATCATAAGAACCATCATAAGAACCCTGGAAACACAAGAACCATCACAAGAACCCAACAACACGAGCTGAGACCAAGAGGAGCAAAGATTTAAAAAGATGTAAGAAACTAAAAGAGCTAAAAGCAAATAAAAAGAGAACAGCAATAAGAAGGTAAAAACAGTAAAAGAAATAGAAACAAGTGGTTAAAGGATCCAAAAACCCAAAACTATAATATTAATAATTGAGTGTAAAACAATTGCATATAATTATATACAATATGTATATTGAACTAAAGTAGACAAAAGAACAATACAAGTCTACAGGGATGGCTCGAAAGTTCAATTGTTGTCTATTGTGTAGCTCTTACAAACGACTAAACAAATATCCTGTGTACAGTGCAGGAACTGTGACTACCAGCAGGAGGCAGACAACAGCTGCATCTATGTCAACAAGATCACCCATGAAGTCGAGTAAGTAAAAACAAGTCGCACAAATTGTCCAACTAATCATAATGTGTTTTTCATATTTTTATTCAAACATTTACTTTAAACCCCCGAACAACAGTTAGTTACACCCCACCCCTCTTATAGATTACTTTTTTCAAGCAACATCAAATTGCATTTGAATGGATCTTGATTTTAGTAAATTAAACAAAATGAAAAAGTGCTGTTGAATTTCAGCAAGGCTTCAGTCATGGACTTGGGGCAGCCGGTTGCGTGCCTTTGTTAATCACAGTCAAACTGATTTTCAGTACATCCTCTCTTGTCCTAGTGATTTTACATAATAGTTGTACAAGCAGTATAACATGAAGTAATAAGCGACAGGGGATGAATACTTTTGTTGTAGACAGTTATTTAGTTTGCTCCTCAGACACAAATAGCTACACACACTTGGCTGGAACCAGACTTTGAGAAACCCAAAGTTGTTTTTTGCACTCGTGCTACTTAGTCTATCTCTACATGTAGACCACTGCAAACCAGCTGCTTAGTGCTATGCACATCTATCTGTATGTTCGATTTACCATGCAACCAGTGAAATAGGAGACAGCTGCTTTGGTGGTCTGTTTGATTCTGATGTAGCAGCTTGATTTATCTAGACAAAGACTGTCTGCTGTAATGTAATGTATAGTCAACTACAGGGACCATGCTCCAAAAGCAATACAGCAGAGAAAATGCTGTGCCTAGACTTTATTTCTAACCATCCCGTAAAAGGAGAATGAAATTGCCTGCTGGCTGTGTCAGGTATTTGCATGTTAGTTTGCCTAAGTTGGACACCAACATGTTTTTATAACGCAACATATCTAAGACATTATTTACATAGATGGTGTTTAGATATAATGGGTTACTTACAAATTCAAGTGTATGAAGTGCATGATTTCACTCTTCACCAAATAAGGCATACCATTCATAATAAGTCACTGTTTATAATGCCCTTTAATACATGACGTGCACATTTCACTGATATCATGTTTCTCTCCAGTGAGCTGACGCAGATCATTGCTGATGTATCTCAAGATCCAACACTACCAAGGACAGAGGACCACCCCTGTCCCAAGTAAGTTTTACTGTTGTCAGCGTCAATGTGTCCATTTTGAAATCGCCAATAGTGTATTTTATTTTTTAAAGGGTAATAAAAACTCACCTTAGCAAAGTACCGTGCTTAAGCATGATTGTCCCCTCTTTTGGGGGTTTGTTTGACTAGTGTTAATGGTCCATGGTACACTTCCATGGCCTTGACACAGAAGGGGTGTGCTTTGGCACAGTATGGTTGATCATGCACAAGTACTATAGACATGACCAATAACCTAAACAATGACACCGTTCCTCTCGATAATCATTTTGAACAAAAGCTGCAAAGGATTCACATTGTTCCGAAGCAGAGGTTGAGTTTACTTGAAATTTTGGACACATGCTAATATTCATGGTTGGCTGGACAAAGCCCCCAAGAACTCGGAGGTCTAAGGGAAAATCCACGACTCTCCAGTAGTACGATGTGATGATGCATGTACAAGAGGTAACCTACCCATCCCATCGTTTAGTACTTTTGTTTAACCAGGTACACACAATACTCTGCCCTCTTTGTCTTGGGACTGCTGATTTCTGACTGTCATTTTATTTTGAAATGGGTGGTGAAAAACTACTAAAACCAACATGTATTAAATTATACACAGGGCATAAAAGCTTTTTGGGATAAAAACTTTGTACATTAAATAACAAACCCTTTCTATTTAAAAGAAGGTTTTGGTTAAAACAAAATACTCGGCCGTTGTACCCCTACTTTTTTTTAAAGAGGTTATGCCATTCCCTCCGTGATTAAAATGATTGTAACATGTAATGTTGTGACTTTTAGTTGAGCAACTGTGATAGTAATGGTTTCTATTAATGTGCTATGCGTCTTCTCAGATGTGGCCACAAGGAGGCAGTTTTTCTTCCAATCTCACAGTATGAAGGCTGAGGTAATGTCTCCAAAAACATTAAATACACAATGCATGGCCTAAACTTTAAAAGGATACTTAAGATTTTTTTGATGAAGTGTTGAATGATGAACTTATTTATAGTGAGTTTAAAGGAAGAATGTGCAACATTTTACACATATATATATCAGAAGTCAAGTTTCCTCTGTGTATGTCTCTGAGTTATGACTGTCTACAATGAGTGAGAAGTGTGATTACATGGACGGGATGGCCTTGTGTATAAAGCTGTTTTAGTAAAGGACTAGAGAGAAGAAGAATAACACAGTCTACTCACTGCTTATTTGGATGTCATGTAAGTGTGTTAAGATGACGGTCATTCTGTGTCAATGTGTTTGCAACATGAAGCTATGAGTTATCAAAGTGTGCTAACATTAGCATACTAACACAACAATGCAGGCCACAGGAAGTTGCAGCTCAAGCAAAGGACGATTTTGTCCACTGCTTGTGTTCAATGGTGCTTTACTGTGGTGAGTTCTAATTGATAACTCCGTCATGTGAATGGAGTGGAGAGGGGTTTGAGGTGTGCTGCTAGAGGAGAGCTGAGGCTTCAGAATAGCGGAGGTTTCGCTAAAACAGCTGTTTGTTATGGTTTAATGCTGGTGCTGAAGGGCAACATCTACTGGATCAAAAAGTTGCACATTCTTCCTTTGAATAAAAAACCCTGCTCAGTTTAGGTGTATGCTCCTTTGATTGTGGGAGATGCACTGTGAAGCACAAGTTCATACTGCTCCAAACTCTTGTCAACATTTAATAAAGCATTAACAGAAAATGCAGCATTGTGCCCATATGTGCACTTCTTTAAATGTGCTGCTTTAGAAGCTAATTGTGCATAATTGCTCGATGTGTGAGGAACCACCAGGATTACAATCA